TAGAGTACAGTTTTAAACATTTAGTGCTAATATAATAGAATACCATGAAATCCAGACCAGCTTAAAATGAACAGTAACACAAGTGATACATTTTGTATTTAAAATTATCACCATGTCATAAGGTTGCCTAAACATAAACACAGACGCTGTAATATGTGTCCAAAGATGAATTGGCACACACCTTCAATAAGAAGGAAAGTGATAAACTATTAAGTTTCAAGTATCACCAGACTCAAAACATAGAATGGAGGAGATTCTTTTCAGGTTTACCATCTGAAGAGTCATGGATTAGCATTTCCCATAATAATGTGGTGTTTCTTTTCATCTTGCCTGACTATGTTGCATTTACATCCCAAAGTTTATGTTGCCATACTGGAGTGAGATAATAATAGATGTTAATAATGAACAGATGTTCCTGGCATCAGTTTCATCTTTGCAAACAATCTCTACTTGTCTGTCTCACTCATTTTTACTCTGTTTTATCTTGAATAGATATGAACCCTCTTCCAGGTTTTAAGAAATGTGTAATAACTGATTTTTTCAGTATTTTTGTTGGTAATGTTGTTATTGAACGTGTGTGTGTGTGTGCGCGTGCATAAGGAAAGGTATCCATTTATGTTTGAGAAAAAAATCAGATATATTCTCAACTTAGATTCTTTGCATTTAGTGTAATTTTTTTGTTGTTTTTGTTTTGTGTGACTTCATGTTAATGAAAATATATGCTGGTAACCCACATTATCCAACATAGGAATGGTTGCATAAGGAACTGTTTGATATCAAGTTTATTGTAAACAGTTATGTGATAAGTTCCTGATCATCACATTGATTCAGGAAAGTGTTTATAGAAATGGAAGTTGTACCTTTATTTATTACTTTATGCCTTTCATGTATAAATATACTGAGCACCAGCCAAAAAGTTGTCAGCATACTTGTCCCTGAATCTTTTCACTAAATTAGTATAAAGAGGTTTGGCCTAATGTAGATAATTGTAGCAGAAATGAATTGTACTCCTTCGTGGTAGTAATATGCCATCTGTGTTGTGGCCCAAGTTCTGCATTGCAAAAATGTTTGTCATCTGTAATTGAGACAAATTATATGGTGGCAAGAGTAGAGGTCATCCATGGGTAAAACTAGAATAATGAGAACATACAGTATACCCGAGAGTATTGTCCTCTCTAGATATATACTAACTGGTTCAAAATACACACCTTGTCTGCCTGTCATTCTATAGTACAAACACAAGGGAAATTTTCCATGCACTACAAGATGTGAACTCTCATGTAGATGATAAGAGTTTTGTTATTGTTTTCATTTATTCACAGTTCTAATACTTAACATGTGTAACTTATAAATGATTACTGAATGTTGTCAGAAAATGTTTGAGAATGCTATTTAACCAAATGATAATCATGATTTCCAACAATTTAGGCAGAAATAATAGAATAGAATAGGAAGGCACGTGTTATTCTCAAACATATCTGCAATATTGGTGAGATAACTTTCATTCACATCAAGTATGATTTAAAGATAGATTTCAGTATTATAATTTCACAGACAAAAGGATTTTTTTTTTTTTTTTTTTTTTTTTTTTTTTTTTTTTGTGTGTGTGTGTGTGTGTGTGTGTGTGTGTGTGTGTGTGTGTGTGTGTGTGTGTGTGTGTGTGTGTGTGTGTGTGTGTGTGTGTGTGTTTGTGTGTGTCACAGTTTCATTTTCATGTAGATGACTCCAGAAGTGCTTTGTCACTAAGTTTTTATTTTCTTTATTAACATTATTGTTGATAATGTTGTAATAGTAGTTGTAACAAAGATGATAAAGCTTATAGTTGTAATAATAGTAATAGGAATAAAAACTACAATGCATGGGGTAGGCAGGTCAGGTCAGGTAGGCACAGTAGGTTGCTCCCAGGGAAATAAACAGTTGGAAACCATCAGTGTGTTAACAAATTTGGTAAATGAAATAAAATTCATCTTTTCATCTTAACTTTTTACCAAATAATGTTAATTGGCCAGTATAGTAGGTGTAAATATATAAAGAAAACAGGGCTGATTTATAAGCATCAGAAGAGTGAAGTGTTGGAATGAGAGTGGTTGGATAACTGGGGTTACCTCTAATAGACATTTTGATTTTGGTTTTGACATTGACGCCTTACACTCGACTGAAAAGAATTTTTAGTATTGCACTGTCTTTAATCATGAATAGGAGTCATTGATATATGGTTGTGAAATTGATTAATTTCTTAAATATCGGAACAGAAAATTCTCTCTCTCTCTTTCAAAGACATCTAACTCTTTCACTTTTTCTCATTTTCTTTTCTTTTCTTAGGTAGACATGACATTGTTTTTCTTCTGTCCTTTTTTCTTCTTAAATCTGAAATACTTAATTTGACATTAATGTAGTTATTATAGATTATGAGTATTATCTATCTTCCTTGTTGTTTTGTATCTTTTTGCTTTTTAGGGTAGACAGCCATGGCCATGAGAATATATAATAAGTCGTAAGA